TTAGGGACTAGTAAAGCGCTATACAAATACAGACCATTTTATTTTTACAATTTCACAGGGTTTTGTTGCAGTTGAAATATTTGCGTTAAAGATCATTTACATAACATGGAGGACATATAATAGTGGTTACTCGCTTCCTTTTCAGCAGGCATGGTTTAATTTACATACTGTCTTCAAATACCCTTGAACAAATAAAATTATATAAGGATGAAAGTGCAGTGGCTTTAGAAAGTTTTATATAAGCAAACATTTAAATTTCACCACCCCCCTTCTTATTTATTTTTGGTGTGAATTTTACTGTTGATTTTTTAAATTTTAATTCAATTATATGTTTTAAACTAGTTTGATCACTTGAATGGAGTGACAGAATTTTTTTTTGTTGTGTGCTGTAAAAGCAGACTTACACCAGTAAGTTTCAGCTGGGAGACATCTGTGTCCTGTGGTTTGTGAATAACCTAAAATAGTCAGTGTCTTCCAGATGTTGACTGTGCACTGTGTGTTTTGCTTTCAGTGGACAATGTTCTACAGAGGAGCTGAAGCCAGACCATGTCAAATATTAGAAAACCACGCAGGAACACAGTTCACCTATTAACTGAAGCGTTAAATAGCTGAAGGAATAAATGTTCAATGTATGCATGTGACGTCTGTGAGAGAAGCGTTTTGTTATGTTGTGTGACATGATGGTTGTTTTGTTTTGTTTTGTTTTTCCTGTTCAGCTGGGTTGGGTACAGTTGAAACAGTGTTTTACTTCAGCCGAAGACCTTTACATTCCCCAACTATTTAAATGGGGGTCAAACCAGAACTATGTATGGAGGTGGAGTTACTCTAATCAGAAGTTTGAGGTCGTCATCAAATATTCAACTATATCCTTAATAAGTATATAGGCTGTTTATAGAAACGGCTTTTCTTTTTCTTTCTTTTCTTCCCTTACTGACATTTATTTGGTCAGGTGGTGCCACATTAAGATTATGAATACTTCACTTCAAGAAAACCCTGACCAGGAAAAAAAGAGATTGCAAATACAGTGTTGCTCCATGCACCAAAATAACCTGAGCAGTGGTGCTGGATTGTGGAACTAACTGCGTTTCTTAAGCATGATGCGTCATAAAGCAGTCCCTACACAGCAGTGTACATATAGCTCTAAATAATGCCACACAACAGTTATATTTAACAACAACAACAGTTATGAAAATGTTAAATAATAACATTGACATTTTCACAAAATTATCATTTGGGACAAAACAAGGAAGCAGCCAAAAGCAATAAGTGATTTATTGTCAGAGCTGAAGCAGCTTTTGTCACATCAAAAGCTGCTTTATGATTGAACAATGTTACAGTTCTGTCTTAAACCCTTACTGATTTACTTGGGTTACGGTTGTCAAAATAAACATTTCACTTCTAAACTATTTTCACATTAGAAAATGCAGAAAGAGTAGCGCATGATAAATGTTTTATCTAAATCAGATTGTCAATTACTGTGTGTCAGCAACTGTGCTTTTTTTTTTGTGTGTGCATGCTGTTGTACTGTGTGTGTGTGTGTGTGTGTGGGTGTGTGGACATGTTATCTGAACGCATCTGTTGTTTCTGCTGTAGAACTGTGACGAACGGTTCCAGTACAAGTACCAGCTGCGCTCCCACATGAGCATTCACATCGGACACAAGCAGTTCATGTGCCAGTGGTGTGGCAAAGACTTCAACATGAAACAGTACTTTGATGAGCACATGAAGACACACACAGGTGAGAAACAAGTGTGGGTCTTTTAAGTTCCATAAGTGTTCTGGGAAAATCACACATGCCAATCAGGCCAGTGTCCTTTGGGATAATCCATATGGCTCTGAAACCTATGGACTTTCTGCAAAAATATGAGTGTCAGTATTAACCTGCTTTTTAAATGCAGGAAACCAATTCTAGTTTCAGAGCCCTTTTTAAGTGGTGAGGCATTTCTATGAAATCAGGAAGCTTTATAGAAAAGTCATCACTTTGTTTGTAGAAACTGAACAAGGCTGCACTCAAATATAGTACCCTAGTTGTAGTTTCTCCACAGCAGGAGATTCCAGTTTCAAATAATGTAATGTCTCCACTATGGATTCTTCAGTAAATAATGTCACTAACTGGTTACACACAACCCTCAAGTCTGATATATGTAAACAGTATTTTTTTTGGCATTGATCATAGTCTATATAAAAATAAAACCCCCTTTTTTTGTCTGTGAAGGTTCTCAGTCATCCAGGTCATCGTAGTCAAAGGGGCTTGCAAAGAAAAGCGTCTGGACTTCTATAAGTTGCTTGAAGACGTTTCACCTCTCATCTGAGAAGCTTCTTCAGTTCTAAGGTCAAATGGTGGAGAGTCCCAGATATAAACCTAGTGGGAGTAACCCCCCACTGTGGGGGGTTACGCTTTTCTTTGCAAGCTCCTTTGACCCCTTTTTTTTTTTTTTTTTTTTTTTTAATTTACATTTCTTTTTCTGCAGTCAACTAAAACAAAGAAATGACTACTCAGCAGATACTTGCTACTTTAGTCGACAAATGTCTTGCCCTTTTGTTTTCCATGTTTGCATAGTTTCCTCCCAGCTTCTATTTAAATGCAGTCGTGCAGAAGCAAATTACAAAGACCAAGTTGGCCCAGCTGTTGAGGGGAAAATTACATTTCATACAGACCAGTTGTTTCCTAAATCTTTTTTGTCCTTTGCTTGATGGTTACAGCACTTTGTACTCTTATTGAAATATAACAAAAGTCTCACATGACTATAGATTTATTTTACTTTATAAATCTAAAGTTTATCAAACATTTACCATCCTTCATTGGCCTGCTTTACCAGCCACCCAGTCACCATACTCATCCTAAAAAAGGAATCGGATGGGGAGTTGCCAACAGGAACATTATAGTGGTAAGAGCAGGAGACTTTGCCCAGAATTTTTAATGAGAGGGATGTTCTACATCAAAGAGGAGCCTTGCATATACTGTGGCTTATAATGACTACCCAAACACATGCTGTATTACACCCCTTTGATTTTCTGTCTCTGCTGCATTGCTATTTCTAAGACCACTGCTAAGCAGTGATGCTTGTATGTCCTTCACTGTTTTTCACCAGCCGTGCCTGACGTGGGTGGACACACTGCACTCCATAGGCTCTCACAGTTCTATTTGTGATGTGTAATTATGCTACCCTCTCCTCTCCCTGCTGCTACCAACCAATTTAACCTCATCCAGGAGGAGACACACCCAGTCATGCTCTGTAATAGGAAGCATACACTTTCAACACCCAAAGTTTGGTTCACTGCATACAGATTTTTTTTTTTTCCATGTGAATTCTCATGAGTGAATGTAAGGTAACAGTTACAGAAGACTAGCACATTAACTGTCACCTTTTGATATTCATTTAGTGTGGAGGAGCTTCACACATAACATGCAAGAATAAGGCATTTAGAGAGCCCTTCAGCAGCCTGTTAATAGATGGCTGTGTGGGTGGTAGCAGGCACATTCAGTGGCTCCATGGAGGGAGGTTAATGAGAGCGACAATCCAACGGAGCTGCTGTTGTTCACTTTCACATCTCCTCTGCTCAAAGTGTGAATTGTAATAGCTTCCTGCGGAGTGGGTGGGTTGACAGCAAAAACTTATTTACATATTTAAAAGAACTGTTGCTCTCTGCAGAGGGAAATGGTTAAAGGGGAGGGGGGAGGACAGTTAACAGTTGTTGAATATTTAACACTTTCTAACCCTCACTTTTGACACCAAATGATTTTATTGTAATGCATTTTCCCCCTGTGCTCCATTCTTCTTGTTAATTGGTAGAAACTGTTCTTTTTTTTTTTTTCTCATTCAGTGTTGTTGTTTTTTATGAATCTATGCAGGGGAGAAGCCTTTCATTTGTGAGATCTGTGGGAAGAGCTTCACCAGCCGACCCAACATGAAACGCCACCGCCGCACCCACACAGGCGAGAAGCCCTATCCCTGCGAGGTGTGCGGCCAACGCTTCCGCTTCTCCAACATGCTCAAAGCACACAAAGAGAAGTGTTTCCGGGTCACCAGCCCCGTTGTTCTGCAGACTAGCGGCCCACCTGTGCCTGTCCGGATCTTTTCCAACACCTTCTCCTCATCTTCCTCAACCTCTGGCCCTGGGCCCTCAACTGCCACCCTGGCCACCACCTCAGCAACCATGGGCCTCAACCCAACAGGAGGGTCTATTCCTCCTCAAGGCACTGTGGGGCACACATTTTCCCATGTGCCACTCCACTCAGCGCCCTCTCACCATCATCCCCACCCCTCATCAACCCAGCAGCACCTCTCAAGCACACCCCAACATGCCCAACCTCACCCCCACCACCACCTAGCAGTGCCCCCTGTCTCCCACCTCCCCCCACCTCCAGCTCTTTTTAAGAGTGAGCCCCTAAACCACTGTGGGCACCAAGACAGCAGCTACCTGCACCACATGGCCCCTCCCGATAAGGGCCCCGGAGCCCCGCAGCACCACTGAACTGTGCTGCTGGTCTGTAGGCCAGCACCAAACCGCGCCTTGTTCCACGTCTTCTCATAGTCCTGCCTCAGTTTTTTAGTTTCAAGGCCCCCAAAGCCATGTCTACAGAGAAGGCGTAGCGTGACCAGCACCATTACTCAGTATGTGTCTACACAGGAGACTTCAGGCACTGAAATCAAATGTGTGTTTTATAAGTGCTCAGAGTCCAATAAACAGCACTGTAATTACGTGCTTTTGTTTAAAACATTTGTGTATATAGTGCAAGTAAAACACAATGCATTACACAGTTGTGCTATGAGTACTTATCTTTTTCCTATTAGAAAAGGATGAGATGGATCATGAAAAATGTGGTTGAAGCTCTTTCTGTGTGGACATAAAGCAAAGGTGCTCCTGTCGAACAGATTCATGTAACTCAAACTAAACTTTACACACCCCTGTGTGTTCTGAAGATACAGACTTATGTACCCTCAGTGTACACATCATGTAACACCTCTACTTTAATATCCTGCTCAACTGACAAATATTTTCTTCAACAATTTCTTCTACAGAAAACAATTTTAGTGCAAGTTCTCAGTCTGTACATTATTTTCATCAAAAGCTGCTGATGGAAGTCGTCTCATGTATTACCTGGGCTTCACTGATCAAAAGATCAGTGTCACTGATTTCTCCTTATGTCAACTTGACCATAGGGTTGCACATTGGTCAGGGCTTGAGCTTTCTGTGCAGGTCCTCCCCATAGCAATACTGCACCTGTCCTCCTAGTTGTACTGCAGAGCCTTGGGGCCCCACAGAAACGTTTAATGAATGTTGTAACTGGTTCTACCTGAGCCTTTCTCTGTCTTAAGGTCAAGTCCTGGCCTTTCTGTCAGAGGGGCAACAGAAGTTGTGCAAGATGCAGTGCCATAGGTTACAGTAAGGAAGGGGGGAGGAACTTTGTAAAAGGACATTTGGTCAAAAGATTTTGTAAGTGGTTAATTGAATCTGGACTTAGTCTGAGATTCATTACATGATAAAATGGTGCTTTCCATTCCAGTACATGAAATATTTCTTTTGTTTTTGCTTTTTTTCTTAATTTTCAGAAGTATGAACTACATAATAGCATTGTATTGTGTCATACAGAACATGTCTTGCCAGTTGAGCTTTTCTACTGCGCATCCAAGGTTTGACTAGATATTTTGCGATCAAGACAACTCTAGTTATGCAGGACATTGCCTAGGCGCGCACACACTCACTCCTCACACTTTTTCAAGCACACGCATACACACAAAAGACCACATGGTCACTGATTTATTTACTTTAATCAGTGCTGCCTCAGCTTTCAATACTGTTGGCCAACAGAAGCTTTTAGATAACGGATGACTGTCGAGTACTGCCACTGTGAGGGGCCAACCACGTGGCCCCATCAGGATATATCCCACCTCCCTTCGCTGCTGTCGATGATACGGGTTATCATGTTAAAGGTCATTTGACACACACACAGTATACACAACTGGGACCTTTACTCATCAAAGTTCTTAATGGGAAATTATGCATATTCCTCTCAGCCTATATTCCACGGTTTGGTGTGGGGTGGCGTTACTTTTTTATTTTCTTTTGTACTTTGATCGTACTGACATACTTTGATCCACACAGGCAAATGCATGTCTAAAGTTGCTGAAAGTTGCCTACGCAGAATGATGGCCGATAACTCATATGTATGTTTTTTTTTGTTTGTTTTGTTTTTTATTTTTGTTTGGGGTTTTTTTTTTTTTTATTATTATTTAATTTTAATGTCTTCTGCTCAGTTTTAAGCTAATGAATGCTTCTGTCATGTAGATATACTGTTATTAGCACATGATAGGAAATGACAGGATAAGAAGCAGTGGTCATACAACTTCTAATACTTGGAATTCTTGTATAGATAAGCATATGTTTGATCAAATCAGCTAAAGAAATTACATTTATTAATGTAATAGCCAACAGTGTGAATGTTACTTGTGTAAAAGAAGAAAAAGGTTGGCTTGCGTTGGAATGAATTTGGGATTGCTTGGTTTTCCCCTTCATCCAGTCTGATCGTGTGTTTAGAGTGTGTCTTTGTGCAAGTGTGTATGAGTGCATGCAGTCTGTGTCTGTCTGATTGTCCCCAGTGCTCTTGTACCAAAAGCTGCTTTTACACAGTGTGCCCCAATGTACGCCTATTTTGGGATACCTGACCTGAACAATAGCAGTAAATCTACCACGACCCTCTTTGTGTCATTCTAATGGTGTTCAGTCTGAAGTGGTTAAGCTCCATTGTTTAGTCTCTTTTTGGATTTGAGACCTGCAATTATCCTGCCATTTCTGTGGGTCTTAATACTGCTGCATTATTTGCTTATCATCCTGTCCCCTCTGGTTCACTGCTGTGATTCAGCATTTTGCAGTATGGATTTTTGTCTTTTTTTTTTCTTTTTTTTTCTTTTAAAAAAAAAAAAAAGCCTTTTCACTTGTGTGTATTCTCTGCACTTTACTGCTGCGTGGGTGAGGCGCAGGGAAGGGAGGGAGGGGTGGGACTGACAATGCATTGTGGAACAGAGAGCAGTTGTGGCTGCACGGGAAAGGGCGGAGATGGAGGTGATTACTTTGAGTGGATGTTTTTTAGGCAAGGAAAGGAGGAGAATCCCAGGTGGAGGTGGGTAGTGTGAATTGGACCATGGCAAAATAAAGAACATTTTCTTTCAGTGTCTGCTCAAATCAAATCATTGAAATACACTTTTGTTTTCTCCAGTATGGGCTCCCTTTAACGTGAAAGGGATGTTCCTCCTGCTTTGGCGACTTTACACTAGCCCCTCCACGCACTTCTTTGTTTTTATCTGTTCATGGAGTTTTCCCCCTTTTCTGTGTCATGTCTTGTTTTCTCGGTTTGCAGAATGATTCTCCTCCTCCTTTCTTTGTTATATAGAATGCACTTTCTACTAAATTTCTTGGGTAGTTAAGGAAAAATAACATTGTATATTCTTTAAAGATGTTTTAAAAAAATCAATATACTTTTCCCCTTTGTATTTTTAACCACTTAATGTAGCATTGCGTATTTTATTGTATCTGGTACAAAATGTGCAGCTTTATAATGTCCTGGTTTGTCGTCTTTTTTTTTT